TGGTGGTGGTGGTGGTGGTGGTAGTGGTAGTAGCAGTAGTAGTAGTAGTAGTAGTAGTAGTAGTAGTAGGAGTATAGGAGTAGGAGTAGGAGTAGGAGTAGGAGTAGGAGTAGCAGCAGCAGCAGGAGTAGTAGTAGTAGTAGTAGTAGCAGTAGTAGTAGTAGTAGTAGTAGTAGTAGTTGTTGTTGTACTAGTAGTAGTGGTAGTAGTAGTAGTAGTAGTACTATTGGAGTAGTAGTAGCAGCAGCAGTAGTAGTAGTAGTGGTAGTACTAGTAGTAGTAGTAGTAGTAGCAGCAGCAGCAGCAGCAGTAGCAGCAGTAGTAGCAGTAATCGTCGTCGTCGTCGTGGTGAGGAATTACATTATAATTGATTTTGGCTTCATGTTTCATATAATAAATATAATTTGTAAGTACATGTTTCCGGGAACAGAAACACGATGCACCGAAAGTGAGACCAGCAAGCCAAAGCTTGAGCGAACCAGGGTTTATCACTCTGCTGTGAAGCAAGGTATTTTACGTCAGCCAATAAGTCTTCTGGCAACGTAGGTGTCGTGTTGATACCCTACGAAACCCAACAACCTAAAATCCAATGTACTATCATAGGGGTATTGCCAATAAGCACTTTACTGCTACAGCCCATAAGCCCCACGATCAAACGAATTTATGTAGGCCGTCCGTCTTTAGTGTTGGCAGGCCTAGGTTTGGGCTTTGGACAAAGTGGCACGGTGTTGCATCTCAAATTAAAGTAAACCCTTGACCCACAAAAACCCAAGTCCTATACCCTCAAGCCCATTAAGTCTCAGCCTTGGGACCAAGATGGTGATGATGGCGGCTGGTGCCGCTGCACTTACAATTAGGGGGGGGGGGGGGGGGGGNNGGGGGGGGGGGGGGGTGGCAGTAGGGCCAGTAGGGTTGTAATTATTATAATTAGAGCATATAACAGATAAATGATCCCAACTTCAACCCCAGTACCGGAACTGAGCTCTATGCTGCGGCACCACATGGTTTAGCTCTCCATTCTCAGGCAAGTCCGCTCCACCACGGTATAATATAGGGTCTAGGGTAATTTGGGTAGTTTGGCTCAGCTCTAGAATCTAGAACTGCTATTGAAGTCCTTCACAGTTCGAGGCGTTGTGGGCTGGATTACCGAATTTATGAATGATGTGTGGGGCAAATAAAGATTAGCTATCCGTGGGCATTGGAGCTTCCTACTTGCCTCTTGCAAGAGAGAAAGCCTGCTGACTTAGTCAATCTGGGGCTTGCACTCGTGTCTTCCAAAGTAGTTGTTAGAAACACAGAAACCCCAATGATGATCTAAAAGGTCAGTACTACTTAGGTGTGATGAAGGCAAGTCTAGTGTGATGTAACTTGACTTGAACTGTTCACTCTTTGAAGGACATATATATATATACACATATTAGTTGTAAACTCTACAACCCAACTTCAACCCGTAAACCCTCATACCATTCGCGAACCGAACCCTAGACCCTGTACCCTAAAATCCTCGAACCCCCCCTTTCCAAAACAGTTGACAAAGCCCGGAATGGGCTCACTACTTACTTGAAGTTGCTCAAAAAGCAAAGCCAGGAAGTGTTTGGAGGGTTGGATATATATATATATATGTATATCTACTATAATATACATAAGGTACATAAGGACAAAAGCACCAATTTGCCAAAAAAACCCTTTGGTACCCTAATCCCAAGCCAATCAGCACTCCAATCACAGACTAAATCACTAATAAGCCCTCTGCACCCTAAACCCCGAAGTCTTCAACAACTAACCACAGACCAGTGCACGAGCAAGCCCTTTGCACCCTAAACACCCAAGCCCCTCAACACTTTAACCACGACCCTCTATGCATATAGGTTGGTTGATGAAATTAGAGTGGCAAGCCCGAAAGTGGTACCCAGGATCCGCGACTGGCTTCAAAAACCAGAAAATCGCGCACCTCCTCTAAATTGGCTTCGCTCCAGTCACTCGGCGGTTCCTTGGTGTGGGGCTGATTAGAACAAACAACACTCAACAACGGGCTGAGTGCAGAGTAGCCTCCAGCTGAGCCTTCAGGATGCCCTCAAGAGTCAGCCCCGGTGGATGAGAAACCTCACTTCGTTTGCTAAATTACACTATAGGCACCTTGTATTAGATGGTTTTGTACTTTGCATGGTCATGGCACATCCAACTCAGATTGCCGGTAAGAAGCCCTTTGTGTATCTTGCAAGTGAAGCTTGGCAACTGCTCTAGCAAATCCTTCGGGGTAGACTTGCGTCTGCGTGAGATTCTTGGTGCCAGTTCTTAGTTGGTACACGAATACAAAGTAAGACCTGGGCATGTGCAGTATCTGCTTTGCAAACTAGCACGTAAGGCCCCCACACTGCAACTGTCCCATCAGCACGCTTCCGCCTCGTCACAACCTTTTTGGCTGCTCCACTGAATTGCACACGTTTCTCTCGTGTCATCCGGTTCTTGAGCTTCATGATCCATCGCCTCGCCCCAACACAATGACGGCTTGATTATGATTTGGGTTTCTAATAAATACAGGATTATCAGCCATAAGATCCCGACGATGACCCGATGCAGTAGCTGGGCTTGGCATTGTCGTGACCGTACAATCCCATCCAGCTTGGCTGACGACATCAATTGCGACATTCAATCAGAACGAGCTAAATCCGACCAGCCTGCTACGTTTATCTGAAGCTTGCGATCCAAGGCACAAGCTGCAGTATTTCCACAGCTCACCGTCGCATGCCAGCAAGAGCTTCCGAAGATGCACAAAATGCGGCACCCACTTGAGTGTGCTTGACACCGGTTGCTCAATTGCAGACCAGACCCTGCGGCTGGTAGCAATAAATAAAATCAGGCAGGCTCTCGCTGTGATGCAGTTGCTGGTGCAAACACCTGGGCTATATGGGGTCGAGGCACCAGGAACTCAGAGGCATTCGGAACACGCTTACGAACTCTATATGCTGGCAAGTTGCTAGGGAGGGTCACATCCCCCCACGGTTGCTCTGGCCCCCTCTTGTGCACACTAGAAGACATCCACACATGCATGTGGCAAGGGTTTGCCAACCAAAGGAGGCCTCCCTCCTTCAGTCTCAAAGCGCTCTTGATGAGCTTCAAGAATCCAGCTGTCGTCGTCAGGTCCTGGCCAGTCGGGTCATTCACTTTGTCGTAGGTCGTCCTTGGACAGTCACACATCACACAACACTCGAAGTATATTGAGAGGGTGACATGGTCAAGCACACCAAATTAGGCTTGTCACGCCTTGGCACCTCGATCACCTTAACCCGGCCACGCACAACTGCTGCTCATGATGCTCACTGCGTGCCATGATGTGTTAGCAGGCATGTGCTAAGTTCGGAACGGAATGCCTTGCCAATGCGAGCTTGGCCACTGAAACATTCGAGGACAGTGAGATCCTCGGACATATCATTCAATGTGTGACCGTGCAAGATTGCGGCACTGCAATCTTTCAGCAAATTATGAGGCTTCAGCTCTGACACAAGGATCACCCTTTGTGTGCGCGATGGTCGCAACATAGTGACAGGCTTGGAGCCTCAGTTGGGTCAGAGAAGTACCATGCAAAAAAGTATTTTGCACACGGTCAGTAGCACAAACACCACACACACAACCCCTTCGATCTAGCGCCATCTGAGCAGCACGAGGGCAGGAACTCCCATCGCCACCAACATTGCACAAGCAGTGCCACTAACTGAGAGCGGATGGACATCCATCCTCCCTAGCCAAGCCGACCAAGCAATTGCAAGAACGACTACAATGATGCAGCGCCCTAGTTTCAAAGTGGGTTGGAGTTCCAGCTGCAGTGTGGGTGAACCTGCAAGCGGCACCTAGCTCGGGTATGGCTGAAACTGGAAGCAGCACCAAACATGAGATTCGATATCGAAAATGACATGAATGACACCTCACATGAGTGAGCTGCATGGCACCAACTGTTGAGGCAAGCCTTTATTCTGCTCTGTGTGACAGTGCACCTGCCACGTCCTTCGCATTGCTGCAACCCAGCTCTACTGGACCCAACTATAATTTAGCAGGTGACACACAGCCTGGCATAAGAAGAAAGACCAGGTTGGAGGTCACGACCCAGCACAGAGTAATCTGCACACCCCTGCACACAAAAATGCTCAGCTAGGAGAGGCGATCGATGAGTTCCTGAACAGCAGCATCGGATTCTGGGAGTGGCGTGGGGCCAGTTTCCCAGCCTGCCAAAATCTTGGCCACCTTGAAAGCAAAGGCCATACCCAGCTTCTTGAAGTTGACATTGGTGCCGCTCTTGCGATTGATCTGCCGGCCAGAGATCCCAAAATGACTTTGCACAGACTATGACACAATCACACTTCTTACCCCGCCTTCAAGCCCAAAGTTTTCCGAACAAGGCACGAAAACTTGGTGTCGACTGTCTGCTTCACATAGAAATGATTTTGGGCTGCAATGACCTGAATCTTGCAGCCATCCTCCACATCCTCACTCGGACAGACAGTGTACGACCTCGGCCACCATGCAGTGTTGCAATATCAAGCTCCCACAATCCAATACAAGTCAAGGCACCCCTGTGCAGACTCAACATCTGTTGGCCGCTGTAGACCAACCATGAAAGCTGGCTCCAAATCCGTGAGGATGTCACCAACCGTACATGTTGACGTCTCCTACACATCCGAAGTTGGCAATGTACACTGATCTGATATCGACTTGAATGGCCTTCTCATCTTCGGCCGGCTCGGGGTGCTTGACTTTGCCCTTCTTGGCGCAGGGAGGGGCCTGAATTAAAAATGAATGAGGCGGTGATATAACATGACTTCTCTTGCCTCATCTTCTTCTTTCTGCACTCTTGAGCGCCCTTTGCGCTTCCCGGAAGCAGCTGCATCTTCAGCCTTTGCATCCGTTGCTGCAGTTGCTTTTTCCTTTGCAGCTGCCTTGGCAGCAGCTTTCGCAGCAGCCTTTTCCTTGCCTCAGCTGATTCACTATTTCTGTTGCATTGAGATTTGGGTTCTCGCACATGCAGCCACAATGCACAATTAAAGCGACGGGGCACGCTCTAGAGCCTTCTTAGCCTTGTCCTCACGGGCCTGCGCCTTCAACTCCTTCTGCTTGTGAAACAGCTCCAAGTCGGCGTCTATCCCCAGTTCATTCAGTTGCTTGAACAAAGCCGGCGGAAGCTCTACAGCATTCGGCTGAATCAGCGGGTCTCTGTCCTGCAGAAAAATGAAGTATAAATATTATAGACATCACACTGGCACTACGTGTAACATGAATCGACCGAATTGCACGGTCCTGGCCAGCTGCCTCGTCTGATTCCGACTTCACAGAGGGGCCAGGCTCCTGACCCCCAAGCATTGAATGAGTTAGAAGGAGATTCAGAAGCCTGAACCCAGCTGTTATATAGGGCATGCTCAAAGGATCCTTGTCAGTCTTGGATGTAGCCACCTTCTCAGGCGTACCAGAATCCTGAACCAGTGCAGTTGTTACAGGAGTGGGGCACAACCACAAATTGTATCACACATGCACTACACAAGAAGAGACACCCACCCACCCTTCCACCCCCACCCCCACCCACCCCCAC